ATTCTGCTTTGGGGCTTGAGTTATTATTTAAGCCTACCAGCCAGGCTAAACAAACTCCCCTTGGCTCCCCTCTTATGCCCTCAGGGCACACGATAAAGTGTAATGAAGGGCTGTCATGTGTCATGAGAGAATTTAATGAGTTATTAGGATGGGGAATGGAAATTGAGCGGATTAAGCATGCGGCGGCGGAGCCCATGACTCCGCCTTTGGATCGCCGGCTCCACGAACCCCAGGCAAATCTGGATTGAAAACTTGAGAAATTACGCCTAATTTGGGCGGTAGAGGAACCTAAACCTCACGAAATACCAAAGACGAGCGGCAGTGTCGCGTCTCATCCATGCGATTCGTCCCTGATAAACTTCCGATTCACCGTAAGAGCTTGCGTCGAAAGAGCGGAGTCATGCAAACACGAGTCGTTCTCATCTCCCCGCAAAATTAAATACATATATCATATCATGACACTTGCCATAGAAAGGAGGTGTATACACAGGGCCGGCCCTAGCTACTTCAGCGCCTTGTGCAAAGCGACTCCCAACACCCGCCCTCACCCCCCTCCCCCTCCCCTCCTCAGAAGGGAGAAGGGTCAATCCTTCGCGTCCAAAAATACGACGAAGCGGAATACACACTTTCACTTTCTGAAGTAAAACTGAGGGTGGCATCCACTATTGTTGCATCCATTCTGGCGCGTTTTGGCACCCCCAGTGAATTTGCGCCCTGTGCGGGGGCACACGTGGCACATGCCTATGGCCAGCCCTGTATGTACATTCCCAGAATTTCCTCTCAGAAACAAAAAAAAGGCACATTCTGCTTTGGGGCTTGAGTTATTATTTAAGCCTACCAGCCAGGCTAAACAAACTCCCCTTGGCTCCCCTCTTATGCCCTCAGGGCACACGAGGGCATACGGTCGCGCCGATCGACCAACTGCCCTCACCTTTTCTCTAGGAAATTCCAAAGCCCAAAAATAGCCTCCTCCTCGGGACATTTACAACGCCGCCAGCGTGAGGAATAAGAGTAATAATTAGGGGAAGGAAGTGGAAGGATCCGCAGTCTATTTCCAATTACTACAGGATTTACAAAGTCGTGAAGGACCCTGAGCCGCAAACGAACTCATTTTATGTTAACCCATTGCGCATTACCTGGTCCCACATCCCTGTCTTCATTCGGCCAACCCTCTCAGCTCCATCCTGCACTCAAACCGAATGTACAGCATCATAGAATTCCATCATATTGAATTGCTAAACCCCCCCCTTCCAAAGCATGTCATTTTGTTCCAAATTGGATCCCTGCCATGCAACATAAACTATCTGCATTTCTAACCCGCCACATTTTGCTTTTATCAAGTGTTTAAGGGTGGATTTTTGAACAGAGAACTATCCGATAATGCAGCTTTATTCCAGGAAAAATACTGGATATTTCCTGGAAATAATACAGCATTATCGGATAGTTCTCTGTTCAAAAATCCACCCTAAAAGCGCTTGATGAATGTCAACGCGAATTTCTATTCATTTGAATGTTTCAACATTTTATTTCCAGACTGTTCCCCTACACAGACTTAGTTCTTAGGAGCCAATAAACTCCACTGAACTGAATTGTTTCGGGTTCTTTCGGCGTCATCCCACGCGAGAAGCAAAATCGGCGCATGCGCCAACAGCGACGCGAGGGCCACCAGTGGAGGAGGACGCTCCCCGGGAGATCGGCAGCCCTCCTACGCGTGCAGCGAACCTAGCGGTCGCCGAGGGAAAGTGCTTTCGTCTGCTCTGGCCGATGCGGCGAAGCTCGGTGGTCGCGAGTACTTCCATCTACTGCAGCCATTTCGATCGAAATCCGAAAAAGATCCGAAAAACTCTTTTTCGGATTTTCTGAACCCGAAAATAAATCAGTCTAGAAGTTTGGTATCGGCCCAAGTTTGGTCCTCGGGGATTTGTTTCTTCGACTCGTTCGACGTAAGTGGCCCGAAACCGCTTCACTACATCTTACCAGTAACTTTCACTCGCATTTGCACAGGGAATTGCTCCGCTTTGAGACCTAACTCCTCCCCCTTGCTTCCGAGTGCTAGAGTTTGTACAATAAAGTACAAAACAGTATCGATCTAGAAAGCGAACATGGTTTTTAGCCAGTAATGGATCGCGTGGTCTTCGATGGTAGGTGGCGGTAAACAATGACGTCACGGAAACCGTCAGTCTCCCAGGGCGATCCATCACTGGTGGGCGATCCATCACCGGGTGTTTTACCCATTACGGCAGAAATGCTCTCATCGGCAATGAAAACATTTCTCATTCCCTTCACGATGTGTTTCTCCCAGATGAGATCCTGAAAACCTGAGAGACGACGGGAGGCCTGTGGAACACAAGCACCGCAGAGCCGTAATTTCATATCAGGTTCCCCTGCACACGGCCGGTCAGAGAAGAAAGGCGCCGCACGAGTGGCGCGTCATCCTCATCCGGATTCCGCTCGTCGACCGAACGTCAAGGCGAAATGGCCTCCACTGCTTCCTTTGGAGGAGGATGAACCCTTGCAGTTCTTTCCTGCTGAGACCGAGGGGAAAAGATGAGAGCAAGACGTCCCGATCCTGCCAGTGACGAGAGGGCAGACGTAAGATCCTCTCGGCCCATAGGCCTAACCGCGCTCTGACTCTGGGACACCAGGTAACCCAATATCAGTGCTCAAGGGTCTCCCTTCCCAAGCGTGCATGAGGAAGTAAACTCGAACCCGGGTTCCCTGCCCCTACCAACCGAGCCACTCACCTCCCCCGTCGAAGGCATCGCCGGTCCTTCGCCTTCTGGAATGAGTCACATTCTTTTATTATAATTTTTTTCCTCTCGAAAGTGGAGTGGGGCACACCCATCAAGAGTCAACACAGGTGAGTCGCGTTTCGCCGAGGATCGAGAGGGGCTCGCTCGAGCACGATGCGATGACGTTCTCCGTAACGCGTTTCATCCGATCATGTTCACACGAGAGGAAAAGGATTAAAAGCGGCAGAGAAGAGAAAAACACGCAAGATGGCACTAAATGACTTGCACGTCGAAAGGATGAGATCAGACATCGATGACTTTGAAAACACAGCCGCAATCTCCTTGCGAGGGATCCTAAGGTGACCTTGTGACATTCTACCCATGGGATTATCGAATAAGAGATTAGATAAGAGGCCAAGGAATATCTGATTCGGCTCGATCGACCGGAACGCGATCGATTTCCTCGAGGGTGTAACAGGAATTAGTAGATACTCAAGTACTTCCCTTGGTCCCAACGCAGACATTTCTAGGAATTTAAACCAGCTCTGCTGCCCTCTAGTGGCGAGTTAGTTATCACCAACATATACAGGGTGGGCCAAAAGTTTTTGCCCCTGTATAAAAATGTGAATATCTCCTGAACGGTTTGGGCTACAGAGTCAAAAAGAAAACTGAAAGAAAGTTCATTTCATGCTCTTTCTGAAAATGTATGGCTTTAGGTTCCTACATTCATTTGGAGATGAGTCATGGCCGTTTGAAAAAAAACATACCGAAAAAAAAGTTGCCAAAGCGCGACGCCTCTTTCTACACTGCACAGCTACAATACTTCTCGATTTTAAATGAAAAAAATTGCTTTAACTCACCTTTTAATTATTGAGGAATGGTTCAATGTGTCCTCCTCCATTTTGATGTCGACTTAGAAATCCAAGACTGAGGGATCTATTCCGAGGCTTGAAGAATTCTGGTATTGAGGTCCTCAACANTGACCGAAAACGCCTGAGGAGTTTTTTGCAAACGTCGTGACGTTTCTTCTTCGTTGCTTCAGACAACTCCTGAACAGTCACTCGTTTAAAAACCTTCAAGTTCAGGTCGTTCTTGATTATGCGTCTCACAGAAGATCCAGAAATTCCAGTCCTTTTGACAACCTCACGCTGGCTGCAGCTGGTGCCTGGTCTGTTTTCCTGGCTCAGTATCAGATCTTCCACAGCGTCAATGTTTTCTGGCGTTCTTGCAGTTCTGGGACAGCCTGTGACTGGACGAAGTTCAGCACTGCCAGTTTCACGCAGTTTTCGCAAGAAATAACGCACAGTCGTTTTTTTCCATTTTCGATCGGGATATTCACGCAAGATTTGGTTCAAGGTAAATCCTTTTTCTTCACGAAGCGACCGGATTAAAACTCTATCACTCTCAGTTAGCACACGGTTTGTACCCATTTTCCCTGTAAGGGTTTCTGAATGAGAGGTAAAAAAGGGTAAATTAAACAAAATTAACACTGCAAAGACGAGCACTCAGCACAACGCGCGGAGTGGACCACCGGAGGCCGTTTAACTTTTGTCACGATCTTCTGCTGGTCGGTTATCCAAATCAAGCATCAAAGTCTTCAAATTGTCATTCTTCACATTATGAAGAAGGGAGGGAAGGGAGGGAGCAATTAGGAAGGAAGAAAACGACGGCGCGCGCGACCTTGAAGAAGGCTGCTGTGGATGATTTCCGTGTGCGGCACGGTATAGGTTCGTTTTGGCAACTTTTTTTTTCGGTATGTTTTTTTCAAACGGCCATGACTCATCTCCAAATGAATGTAGGAACCTAAAGCCATACATTTTCAGAAAGAGCATGAAATGAACTTCCTTTCAGTTTTCTTTTCGACTCTGTAGCCCAAACCGTTCAGGAGATATTCACATTTTTATACAGGGGCAAAAACTTTTGGCCCACCCTGTATATATAGGGTATTCATAAATTGAAGGGATTAAAAAACATTGAAAACAATTGGGAATCGATTGGGTTTGCAGTTTGTAGCTCTGCACACGTACAGGGGATATCCAATTTGCGTCTGTTTCCTCAGCATGATTATTGAAAGCGTGCCTCTCTTCTATAACAATTAAAACTTAACACTTTTCAACTTGTTCTCGATGTCATGGCCTTTTCCTTGTGCAGCGTGATCCTAGTTTCTAGGGACTGTTATATCAGCTACTAATCGAATTGCCACCAGGGGATTCTTTTTGAAAGACTTGGTCTTGTAGAAGGAAAACCACCTGTCAGTTCCACAAACTACAAAAAAGCATTGAGCTTTGTCTTGCTCGCCAGCCATGACTTGATCAGCTGATGCAAGAAATTATCCTTCTCTTGCTCCCCCTTCCCCTGCCTCAGTTGTACTTACATTAAATGCACATTTAAAAATATATAGGCCCAAAAACTGAAACCTTTAGTTAATGGTCATTTAAGAATAAATGGACTCCTTTGGGAGACTAAGATCTCTTTAGCTTAAAGGCCCCTTTATCACTCCTAAGTGAGGTTTGTGCATTTGGGCCATAGTATTTAGCTATTGTCTGCTGTAAACCTGATCAACTTCTTTGAAAAGGTTTTCAAGATAAACATTTTAAAACCCCTTCAATAACTCAAGAACACCCTGTATTGTATGGTAGCTAGCACACCCATTCTATGGTGCAACAGCACTGAGCCCCTCTTGTACTCAAACAGGAAGCAGCATCCTTCTGTATACATGGCAATAAAGATACAATATTGAATGTTGAAGAGAAAAATATTTTATTTCAATATCATTGCACTCCTCACAGGAAGAAATTGGTAATCCAAGAGCATCACCTGTTTGACTAGGAAGCTGCACCTCCTTCAGCACTTAACATTCAATTGTTAGGCTGCTTCATGTGAAACATCCAGCATTTCACAGACTGCATAGCTGTCAACAAACATAAACTTCCCTATGGATCTTTTCAAGCACAACAAACAGTTCTAAATGGATCTGAGGTTTAACATCCATCAGTGCAGAAATCAACTCCAAGACCCAACTCATCATGCACCACAACTACCCTGCAGATTTCAGACTGAAAGAAACCAAAACTGATGAGATGGGCAATCTGACAGATGGAAAACATCTCTCCAAATATAGTGGGAATTCAAATCTGGACTGGGTCCACCTGGCTTTCTTCATCCCAATATGATAAGAGATCATTTGGTGGAGGATCTAAGTTTTTGGGATTCAATGAAGATAATGCCCTAAGTCCATTCAATTTGAATTCACACTATACCAATACTGCAAATCTGATTGCAATGAATGAGGCAAAATGAAGGGCAGATTGTACTCAGCAATGCCTCTTGAAGCAGGCCTAGACATGACACCTACTTTCTCAACACCACATTACTTCAGGCCCTATCACATGAATAATTTTTACTTGTAGAAGTCATTCTCCTCCTCCTTGCCAGTCATTGCTACTTGCTTGGTAAAAAGATGAGCAAGCTGCAGAAGCTCTTCCACAAGATGGAGACTCAATGAAGACATGAAGACTTTCAATCAAGGTTAGAACACAAAAAAATATCCAAGAAAGTTGATGGGTTTGGTACACCTCGAGGCTGTTTCGAGAAAAAGTTATTTTATGAATGTAACACAACTGAAACCACCAAAACTCAATGACCTCCACCTATTTCACAAGCATTACTTCCCATTTTTTGATCTGCTGAATCGTCTGTTACAAAGGCAGGTTTTTCCATATTGCTATTTCCTTAACCATCACTTGTTTTGATGGGTATTTTGAGACATGATGCCCTTGAAACAAGTGCGACACAGATTAGTGTACCACTATTCTAAAAAATATAGCAGTAACAGATCCAAACAATACACATGACAGGGATATCCCAGCAATAAATGACCTAAGAAGCAATACTTGATTCAGTTGATCATCTGGCAAAGCTGATGGCACGTGTGATGGTATAACAATTTTGAAAAGTGAAAAAAAGAGAGAGCAAGTGATTTTTGCATCAATGCAAGTGAACGTAGGTACTAAAGAGGAAGTAAAAAAAAGAAACACGCCAGGGGAAGCATCCGAAAGACTGATGCAAACTATCAAAGTACTGCAGGAGTGCAGTGAAATGTAGATCAATGGCATGTATCACAGCTCACAGACAAGAAAATTTGAAGATGGGAAATCAAGAACATATGGTGTAGCTTGTGATGGTGTTGCCAACTTGTCGCACCTCTTGACGGCATCGCTGTCCCCTAGATTGGTGTGAATGGCTGCTATAGCTGTGTGAATGTGAATGAGCACCCCCATTCCCAAAATGGCTTCCAAAGAATGAATCACCCCCACCAAACACATGAGGATCTTCAAACCCGCCAAAATTCTGGAAGAATCCTCCCTGTTTTGGCTCCTGTTGAAAGAAATAAAACTCTTGAAGGGCAAAAAACAAAAAGCTAACAAGCTGCTATATATTAATTCTGGGTATTAACCAAATAAGGTATTCTCCAGCAATTAAGCCTACATATATTTTACTACACAGAGAGAATAACATAATTGGTATAGGGCTGCCAATTAAATTGTATTAAGTGATATATGCAAGGATTACAAAACAATTACAATTCATCACCTTCGGTTATCATGGAGAACGCAACAATAGTACAGGGTGTTTCAAAAGGAACTGTGGAGTACAGACATAACCAGTCTTACTAGAAAGATAATTCATTCAGAAAAAAAGCAACTTATTGCTAGTGATTACAAGAACACCACAAAACAGATCAGAGGTAACAGAAGACCATTTTGAACTGAAATTCATGAACAGTTCAGCAGCCAATCTATAGCAATTGCTAAAAATTCTAAATAGCTATTTTGATTCAGTACACATTCATTTTTTAAACATCCTGTATTTTCCATTGAAGTCCAGTCCATTCAAACACTGCTGACCCCATGATGGTACACTCTGAGGGAAATTGCCATGATCAACTGCAGGGTCAAATTCAACTCAGAACACCCATACCAGGATGTCTACTTCTCAAGCATCTGTACTGTCTATTTGCTTGAATTGGGGAACAGGGTTCACTATGGGATGAAACCATTTAGCTATTGGTCTGTCGTCATTCTCACTTTACCATGAAATGGACACTAGCCATAGCTTCCTGTTTACCTTAATATTCAGGAATGTAATGTTGTAAAGTAAAGTAAATCCTAGATGGAATTTTGTTTTCATGTTTCTAGTATGAAAATTTTGACTTACATCAAAGAAGTCATCAAAAGTGAAATGATGCTGCTGCTTGAAATGATGTCCTTGATTATGATGTCCTCTACGATGTCCCCCATGTCCACTGCCAGGGAATCCTCCTCCAAATGTGAAGAATGCACTATCATCATCAAAGCCTCCAAAGTTCTTGAAGATGTCATCAAAGTTGAAGTGGAAAGTGTGAGCTCCCCCTGAACCCCCACTGAAGGCATCTGAACCAAACTGATCGAACTGCTTTCGCTTGTCTGGATCTGACAATACTTCATATGCTGCAAGGAGAAGACAATACCAACATAAAATGCATTTGATGCCCATCTCTGTCTTAATACATAGCCTATATTGACGCTTTCTCACCTTCTGCAATCTCCTTAAACTTTTCTTCTGCACCTTCTTCTTTATTCTTATCTGGATGATATTTCATGGCAAGTTTCCTGAATGCTTTCTTTATGTCCCGGTCAGAAGCTGCTCTATTCACACCGAGAATTTCATAATAATCCTTGGCATCCACAAGTATGGTAAGCAGTAATGTCCAGAGCATGACGACAGGCACTAACATGTTCTGATAGTACTTCATTGTTCGAAGTTGCGCAAGGACCACGCTAACACTCAGAAGATGATAAACTGACGGAATAAAAACAGAAGCGACTTATAGATTGACCACATGAAATGGTAAATCATATGAAATGCAGGTGAGTTGGTCTAATTGTGTAGACCATATTGTAGGACGTAACCTACAATTACTCTTACACCTAATATACCTGGACGCAGCATATATTTTAACCTAAGGCTGCCTGAGTCAAGATTAAAAATTGAGAACTGGCAGCTATTGTTTCACCATTTCGCACTGAACTTGAATGAACATCCTCAAGGAATACATTTTTAAGACAAACAAGACTGGGTTTCCGCAGCAGCACCTCCGCACTGACTCGGCTCCTGATCGCGAAATAAGCCCGAAGGTTTACCTGACGTAACTTCAAAGGCCTCCGACACGTTCGCCTCTCCCATTGGTTTATCTTTCATCGTCTGCTCGTAGGACACGACTCCACAGCTCTTCCGACCTCTGTTGAGCCAAGAGAGAGACAGAAGCTTCTAACTGCTTGACCATGAGGGCAGGCTTTAACTGCTGTAAAATTATCCTTGTACCAGGGGCATGCTCTACACTACTTTGCATGTAGAAACACCTTCAGCATGAGCTGCGTAGGCTTCATGCTACTTCTAATGGGGAATACACATTCATTTCGTTGAATGCACCATAGAAGCAATATGCACAATGTTAATGATAGTATGAATTAATTTGCAAATTACTATTGGTTATGAAACAGGATTTTCTTGATTTAAAATTTCTGGATTGCCACCAAGGTCTTCCTGGATGACCAAATTACGAAACGTATCGCCTGAACTGGGGAATTTGTCCAGAATCGAATATGCTTCTCAGACTTCCGGTTAGGGCTGGGAGAGCGTCAGAGACAGCGAGGCGGATAAGGCACGACAGCCATCCTAGATTTGAAGCCGCAATTCATCTCCCATTTGTTTCTATTGCGAAATAGCATTTGATTAGTAGCATTACCTGAGATATGGCTTATTACGTGATGCAGAGGCCTCTGCTGGGCATCTGCTTGAGGCCACTGCTGGGCATCTGCTTGAGGCCACTGCTGGGCATCTGTTTTCATATCATACAAGCAATATGTGACGATTGAGGGCGATTGCAAAGTTTCATATTCTCTGAGTAAAAATAATTGGTTTCATTGGATACATTCGAGAAAAAAGATGCTCATCTCTCTTTTCAACAAAAAGTTTCGATAATCCTCCAATTGAAATTTCTCTAGTTCGCCAATGGTCGATTTTCAAGTCTCCTGTTTCGTCGCGTCACTGTATGACTTCAACCTTAACCCCGGTATTTGAATTTACAGGAATCGCATGAAAAGAAAGAATTTAGGGCTGTTGTGGGGTAGGCCCTGATGGAAAACGCTGCCGCGCCTCCGCCTCCCACAGCCATGCCCTTTCCGGACTTGTTTACGAGATAAACACGCTCTGTGCCCGGGAGTCTCGTTATTCCTGAAGTGCAACAGACCAACCCGCAAAGGAGTCTTCTCAACACGTCTGGTAAGTCAACAGATTTCTGTTATTACTTCACGAGCCTTTTCGCCTTGTGCGCACATGTTCTGTCCCCGGACTCAAAATCAACTTTCTTCGCGTTACGATTGACTGACTGCAAGAACCATCCCGAAAGAGAAAGCGTTTAATTGAACGTATTCGAAACTGAAAGAAACGAACTCGAATGCTGACCAAGGCGGCTAAGAAAAATATGGGAGAGGCGCTGCACATTAAAATTCTATAGGACGGTTTAGGAAATGCACCTGAGAAATTATCAAATTGACTATAAAAATATTGAGTGGAAACGGGAAATATGACTTGCAGGGCGACTCTAAAATAGCTTGATGATCAGCACAACAAGCCCGATCGAGACACATCTGTGTGTTTTTTCAAGAGAGCACGGCTGACGTGACGACATTTGAATACACAGCAGGTGCAGTTAAGGATGAGCATATAAAATGCGATCATAAAGGGCTGACGACCAGTTCTCGAGTAGTCTGTAAAGATGCTGACCCACAAGCAGCAAATGGCACTTGAGCAATATTATTTCTCAAATGGACCCAACCCAAAGGCGACACGACAGTTTCGCAGCTGCCTTGCATATGTTTATCTGTGTCCGCTGCGGTATACAAACAGACATCGCGTCAGCAGTGATCAGCTATCATATATTTTCCCGTTTAACTTTTCCTCTAATGTTGTGATATTATTCCAAGACTTTCACTGATATGTGGTGCATAGGTTTCGTGCTGGAGTGCCGTGCACCCTATTGACTTTATAATTAACCTGCACACAAAATGAAAATTATGAAAAGAAGATTGATTCGAACAGCTTCGAGTTCTGTTAGAAGCAATAGCATGCATTTGTAGTTTGTAGGATGTCAATGTTGCTCCAACATTGATCCACTTGAATTGCCACCCGGGAAGGTTCCCACGACTGAAGCGAACGATGCCTAAATCGCCGATGCAGCTGGAATGAGTCTCAAGTACTTTTCTCACGGGGACGAAGGGGGAAGACATTGGACTTCCTCAATACATTTGTCTTGTGGTGTCACCAAGGCCAGGGAGATTTCAAGTGATTCTGGCCGCGGATGGAGGAAGTGGAATTCAAATAAGGACAATGATGAACAAGGGAAGTGTTAGGAAACTTGGCGGCCTTGGCCTGCACAGAAAATCTGACGGAGTACTTTGAACAGGTCCTGTGCCCAGAAGGGCTTTTATATTGTGAATGTGTGCGCTTGTGTATGGGGGGAGGGGGTAGAGGCTGCGTACTTGCGTGCATTGTTCGTGTGCGTGTGCCTGCGCTATATAATAATTGAGAACAGAATTGAAAAGGAAAATCAATCATTGGGAGTTTGGTTAGTAAAATGCCGGAAGATTTAGTGGGAATGAGAGGGTAGGCAATAGTGGGCCAAGAGCCACGCTTATTGTGGCTCAACATCGTCTTCCGACATAGACCCCCCGTGTATCTTGTAGGAAGTCAATGCCCTTTTGGCATTAGCCTAACAATTCCGGAAAGCATCCGAGGGGCAATGCAGGGCGCTTAAAAGGCTGGAATAGAAAATTACCCCTGGGGAAAGTACCCCTGCACCAGGGGCTTGAATTGATAAATGAACAAGAAAGGGAAAAAAGAAAACTACCCGTTTCAAAGCCTTCTCGATCGCGCCAGTGCTAATTACAGATAATGAGGTCCCCATCCTCTGACCCGATTCTCAGCGGAAGCTATAAAGTGTTTTTTTTTTTTTATCCATTGCCTCCCCTTGGCCCTGTGACCAGCCTCCGCTGCTCCCATGGAGCTGGATCGTGTTATTCTCGCCCCTAGTTCTGATAAAGGGCAGCTTTAATCACGGTAATCAACTCTTTGACCCCTTTCACCAAAAGTCATGCCTACCAGGCAGGCCAAATTACGAGTATTGCCTATCCGAAGTATCGTTCCGTCATTAATATTCATGAACCCATGCCACCGATGTGGAACTGGGACAAACGAAAACGAAATTATCCGAAAACAGAATTGGTCTTCTCTCGCTAAAAAAAACTGTGACGTCATGTCACAGGCAATCGGAGCCGATGTGTGTGGCGAATCTCATCGATCAACTCGAGGATAGCATGTTGTGAAACGCCTCTCTCTTGATTTCTATCGGAGTATCGCCTGATTGCATCTGAGCAACGCCGATGACGCAACCCCCCAACCCTATCACACACCCGTCGATGGACATCACACATCTGGTCTCGAAGATGTTTTCGGATGCCCCTCAGGGGAGGCACTTTCCTTCCTTCTTCGCAATTATGGCACCTCCGAGCGCTTAGAATCTCTTCTCGACGAGAGGGAAGATGAGGATGAGAGATTAACGGAATGGCGAGGGAAAATGTTGGCATGTTTACGGGAAACATGCTCAGAGTTTGAAAATTAATCACGCCTTCCCTTGGAGAGGTATGATAGGATGGGGTAAGAGAAAGGGGACTTTATTTTTGGATAGAGGATCCCAAAATACCAACTTACCTGAAAATGGTCAAAATGGCTTATCTCCTCTAACCCCAAGGCATTCGCTTTAAAGGGTACTCAACGGGAATTTCGATCCATGTCAATTTACCTTCCAGGCTTCGATCCTGTGCTTCCCAAACCCATTATTTCTCTTGATTCCCAAATGGAATCGAGCATTTTCTTTATTCATATACAGGGTGATCCAAAAGTCACGTGACATTTTCGCGCGGTCTCCAAACCTCACCCCAATGAACTTTTTCTTCGGGGGAGGGAGGGGTTGAAAAACAAAGTGTACGCTCAAAAGTCCAAAATTCTGAATGATTTAAATAAATTTATAACGAACACCACAGAAGAGATCAATGTAGACATTGAGCTGTGCCAACATGTCTGTCGGAGTGTCACGAGTAGGTTTCAGGCATGTGTAAATGCTGATGAAAAACAGTTTGAACATCTTCGTACTAAGAAATCATTCATATGACAGCATAGGTTCACTGCAGTATGTGTATCTATGTTCAAGTGGTTAAATTGCCATGTATATCCTTTGCAAAAATCTTGTAAATTAACATATTCTTTTCAGCACTACAGAGGGTAAAGTGACTTTTGGACCACCCTGTATATGGGTACATAATTATTTATTGTAATAAACATCCACATGACAAGTGCCTGCCAGTCGTAGACAATAAATTGTAGACAAGAAATTGATTTTTATATGTATATATTTATGCGTGCAAGTATGACATAAATAAGTAGCTAACATGCATAAAGGTACACTCAAGATTAATGTGTCCATTATGTTTGTATTAAATTGTTGAGGAAAAATTGAAACGTGGTAGTATTGAATAGAGAGTGATAGTGTCTACGGATGGATGGAACAGAGAATTTTCCGATAATGCTGCTTTATTTCCAGGAAATATAATGCATTTTCCCTGGAATAAATCTGCATTATTGAATAGTTATTTGTTTAAAAATCCACCCTACATGTATACAGTAAAATAAATCATGAATTTTTAAAATGAGAAGTTGTGTGGCACACACCGATTTCCATTGGA